AAAGAGTGTCATATTTCTGATCTGTTATGTTTTTCAGAAAGAAGGGCCTTATGTTTTGTTTCCACGTATATTCTACCTTGTCTGGTATTGATATGGTCTCCTCCATGCCTTTTTGTTTGTTTGCTTTTGCCTGCTATGTCTTATCTCTATCACCATCCCTTTTTAACAATTTTTTGGTTTGTGTTTTAGGTGTATCTCTTCTATGTGCCATATAATTGTATTTTAAACCAATTTTACAGTTTTTGTCTATTAATAGATAAAGTCAACCCATTTGCATTTGTTGTTATGCATGTATCAAGTCTTTTTCTGGTTAATGATTTGTCCTTATTATACTTTCTTGTTTCCTTTCTTCTCCTTGTTTTAAATTTTTGAACTGATGATTTTGTTTTAAATAAATTTATTTATTTAATTATTATTATTTTTAAAATTTTGGCTGCATTGGGTCTTCGTTGCTGTGTGGGCTTTCTCTAGTTGCAGCGAGCGGGGGCTACTCTTCGTTGCTGTGTGCGTGCTTCTCATTGCGGTGGCTTCTCTTGTTGCAGAGCACGGGCTCTAGGCGTGCAGGCTTCAGTAGTTGTGGCTTGCGGGCTCTAGAGTGCAGGCTCAGTAGTTATGGCACACGGGCTTAGTTGCTCTGTGGCATGTGGGATCTTCCCGGACCAGGGCTCGAACCCATGTCCCCTGCATTGGCAGACGGATTCTTAACCACTGTGCAACCAGGGAAGCCCTGAACTGATGATTTTTCTTGTTTCCTTTTCTTCCTTTCATAAAATGAAAATTCTGCCATGTATTTATATCCTGCTAGTAGCTACTTTTACATTTCTTGACACTGTTTGTCAGTGATTTTTAACATATTTTTTGTTATTTTGATGCATTGATTTAAAAGTATTAGGAGAAAATAATGAGGTAGAAAGATATATAATAAATTCTGTGCCTCAGGGTTGACACTTTTTCTGGAGTTCATAGCCAGTAGGATGTAAAATACACAACTTGCTTGGAAATTGGTTTCATTCCATCTCTGGTCTCTTCAGTCCTTTTCTTTCCACTAAGTTTCTCCCCTTTGCCTATTCACATATTACAGTGCTCTCTGTCCTTAAACGAAAACCTTTCCCATTGCTTTATTTACAGGACTTATTCCTTACTTCTTTTCATACAGTGTTATCTCTCATCTTCACAAAAAGTTTGAAGTAATTTCATCTGGCTGCTTTTGATTCCTGATCTTATCTTCCTTGTCTTCTTCACTGTAAGCTGACTTCTTCCTTCATGACTCTTCTGAAATTAGCTAATTTTCGAATCAGCAGATTCTTTTCAATCATCATTCTGTTTGACCCACCCAGCTTCTGATAGTGTTGACTAGTCCCTCCTCTTTGAAACCCTCTTTCTCCTGAGCTTCAATCCTGAGTCTCCTTCCATCTCCCTCTCTGTCTTTCTCTCGCTCTTCCTCTTGCTGAGGATTCTAGGGTCTTTTCTTGGCCTTCTCCTCACAACACGAGGAGTTGGATGGCCTTGGGTTCAAGCTGTATGATCTTGGAGAGGTTATTTAACCTTTTTGTTCCTGAGATTCCTCATCTGTAAAATGATGACTTTAATTCTGTCACTTTAGCAGGTTGTCCTTTGGATTAAATGAGTTGAGGCATATGAACCTCCTATTAGTACAAAACTGAGTACAATGTGAGTTATCATTTATGGTAACTGCCACTCGGTTAGTACTCCCTCCTTGTATTAGTTAGGGTTCTCCAGAGAAACAGAACCAACAGGATATATGTAGATATGCAGAAAGAGATTATGAGGAATTGGCTCACCCAATTATGCAGGATGAAGAGTCCCCATGATCTGCCATCTACACTCGTAGGGCCCAGGAAAGCCAGTGCTGCAGTCCCACTCCAAACCCGGAGGCCTGAGACCCAGGGACCGATGGTGTTAAGTCCTGGTCTGAGTCTGAAGGCTCAAGAGGTAGGAGCATTTATGTCTAAGGGCAGGAGAAGATGGCTATCTCAATTCAAGTGGAGAGAGCAAATTCGCCTTTCCTCAGCCTTTTTGTTCTATTTGGGCCCTCAGCAGTTTGGATAATGCCCTCCCACCTCTTCTTTGCTCAGTCTACTGATTCAAATGGGAGAACTCTCACAGAAATACCCAGAAATAATGCTTTACCAACTCTCTGGGCATACCTTAGCCCAGTCAAGTTGACACATGAAATTAACCATCATACGCATCAAATAGATAGTGAATGCTTACAGGGTTTTATTTCCTAGTCTAAGGGCTAGAAAACAAAGCTCAAATGGGCTTATAAATTTGAAATGCCATTTTCAAGTCAAGCTGGGTGTTTTGTTGGTTGTCTCATAGACCAACCACAGTCTAGATTTATCCTGTTTGCACATGCTTTCCCGCATTAACTGGAATTCCCACCCAGTGATTGTAAAGCCTAAAATTCCATGTGCTGCTTCTACAACTCTGAGCCTCAGGGAGCTCCAGAGACCTCGTTGTGAGTTCCCCTGCTCTCCCTGGATAGGCCCCCACCCACTGGGAAAGGCTCCACACCCAACTAGCTCCCCTGTCAGCCTGGCCAGGTACACCCCTCCTAATCCTCAACCAAATGGTTTTCACCTCCCTAGCAGCCCACGAAAGTGTTCCAACAAGCCAGTCACATCTTCCTGTGGGAACCAAGGGTCTCCTCAGCCTCCTGTCAGTACCAAGTCTGCCTCCCACAGCCCCTGCGGTTCACTGTGCCTGAGTACAGGCCCCAAGTGGTCTTGCATGGCGTGGGGTTGTGAGGCCAACTTGTGACTAATGAACTCCTGTCAGGCTCATCTGTCTAGTGCTGGGTGTCATATATTCGGTCACCGTGTGCTATGTAGGGTGGGGAATCCCTCCTTCATCAATAGAGTGAATAGGATACAATCAGAACACCACCTACTCTTCCCCACTGCTAATCTAGAGCAGCCTTCACTATCCTTCCCTATGACTCCTTATACCTCCTCTTCCTGTCCTTAAATGTCAGAGCACTTTCTATATTTGTCTCTGATTATTTCATGATAATGTCTGTTTTTGTTGCAGATGTGTAGTTTCTTTTGGAGGATAATATTTTTCTCTCACAGATCTCTTCTATCCCTTCTAATGCTGCTTGGTTTTTTTTGTTTTTTAATTTCCTTAGAGGGTGTTATTGGCATAATCCTTTGTTCAGTAGAAATGTATAGTTTCAGGAATCAGTGACATTCAAGGATGTGTCTGTAGATCTTACCTGGGAGGAGTGGGTCCAATCTAAATTCTGCTCAGAGGAACTTGTATGGGAAAGTGATGCTGGGAAACTACAGTAACCTGGTTTCGCTGGGTAAGGACTTCTCCTTATAACTCAAAACCTACCTATTGCCATCTCTCCCACTATTGACATCTTGTACAGCCTCTGAAATTTGTGAATTTGGACTCGAAATTCTGATACTACAGGACATTGTTTTAGGGTAGTTCCTTAGTGTCCTGTCTTTCAAGATGAAAGGCCTTTTCTATAGAGAATGGAAAACTGGGAAATCTCAGAAGCCACACCTTCCTTAGTTACAGAAGCCCTGAAGATGAAGGGATAAGACATATGCTGGGGGTGTTTTTTATACTCAGTTCAGAAGTCAAATTTAGTGTTTTTCCTCCCGAGCAGGGCATCAACTTTCCAAACCAAATGTGATATCTCAGCTGGATTGAGAACTGAGCCTGATGACAAAAGAACATCCAGGGTGCATTTCCCCAGGTAAGGATCTGGCTGCAAGAACTTGTTCCATGAGTGTCACCTTGGGGAGAAACCACTACAGAGGTCCCTGGGTCTCTTGAGACCTGTACCATTTGCTGTGTGTTTCTCAAATGCCTCTGCATTGTTGATGTCACTCATCCTGCTGAGGTCTTGCATGTGTCCTTACCTCAGTGGGAGGTAATATCTTATGAGGATTAAATGAGTTACTACATTTGTGACTCTTTTAAATTACCTGGAACATACTGAACATTCAGTAAATACCAGCAGTTATTATTTCCTCTTCTGTCATCTGTGCTTTCTGTTCTTTTTCTTTCTTTCTTTCTTTTTTTTTTTGGCCATGCTGCGCAGCTTATGGGATCTTAGTTCCCTGACCCGGGTATCCAACCCGGGCCCTCGGCAGTGAGAGTGTGGAGTCCTAACCACTGGACCACCAGGGATTTCCCTCATCTGTACTTTCAATCCCTGTCTTTCTATCCCCCTCTACTTTATTCTCTTTATTTTCTTTCGTGAATCTTTCTTCTTGGCCGTTACCTATATCCATAGCTTTCTTTCCATTATTCATTTAAACATTTGTCAGCTTTTTAAAAGGAGACTAACGTTTCTCTTCCTCTGAATTATATAGGAGTTTTATACGGTCTTCATTTAAAAACAAATGACGAGTGAGTTTAGCCCTGTTCTTTCCTTTCTCATTCCTAAATTTTTAATCTGAATCTACTACTTATTTAATCCCATTCTCCTCTAAGCATTTAATGCTTCGTAATCTTTGTTATCTGCCTACTAATCCCCCTCACAACTGAAATTTCTTTATTAGATGTTATCATGACTTTTCTCTGAAAAAATGCATTTTACACCTTTATCTTTTCTACTCATGTGAAAGTGTTGACCACCTTCATAATGAGCCTCATTAATGGTTAGTACAGGCACATATCTTTGCTTCCAGTAGGAAAACTAATCTAAAAGACTGTAATCAATGTAGGTGAATCCAAAAAGTTTGTTCATCCTTGCACAGTCTCTCAGCACTGGTGGTTCCTTCTGCCTGGGATGCTCTCCCTTTAATAGTCCCGTGACTCCCTCCTTGGCCCCTAAAGTCTTGTCTTCAATGTCACCTTGTCAGTGAGGCCTTTCCTGAAGATTGTATCTAAAATTACAAACTTTTCCCCTTACCCATCATATTCCCTATTTCCATTTTATTGCTTTTATTTTTTCCATAAGGTATACCACTTAAATACTAAATATTTTACTTATTTATTATGTTGATTACCCTTCTTCCCCTCACTAAAATATAAGTTACTCCAGGGCACTTTTGTTCATTGCTGTATCCCTAGCACCTTGAACAGTGCCTCACTCAATAAATAGTTTTTTTTTTTTTTAATAAATTTATTTATTTATTTTTGGCTGTGTTGGGTCTTCATTGCTGCACACAGGCTTTCTCTAGTTGCGGCGAGCAGGGGCTACTCTTCTTTGCGGTGCACGGGCTTCTCATTGTGGTGGCTCCTCTTGTTGCGGAGCGCAGGCTCTGTAGTTGTGGCACACGGGCTTCGTTGCTCCGTGGCATGTGGGATCTTCCTGGACCAGGGCTCGAACCCATGTCCCCTGCATTGGCAGGCGGATTCTTAACCACTGTGCCACCAGGGAAGCCCTCAATAAATAGTTATTGAATGAATGATTTATCATGTTCAGAAGATCGATCTGGCTGCTTTGTGGAGAATGCACTGTAGTGTAGCAAGAGTGTTATGTAGGAAGTCCAGTGAGGTGAGTACTGAAATAGTCTGGTTGAATGGAAGGAGTAACTTAACTGTTAGGCTGGAAGAAATATAAAAGGAGAAAAGAAAGAAATCAGCTTGCCCTAGGAAGAGCAGGGCCTGCTGCCCAAGTCTCTCACCCAGGCCCTCGACTCCTGGCCAAATACTCTGCAGGCTCTTGGCCTCTACTACGGCCAGTCCCAGCCATAAATACTGAAAGAGCTGTGCTTTCCCATACCCCTTGGTCCTGGGGACTCTTATGTCCTGATGAGTACCAAAGTTAATATAAATCCTAAAGTTAACTAGGCATTCTGAGACTGTAAGGGAGTATGGGCCATCACTTGAAAGAACTGCTTAGGAATAAAGGAACGGAAGAGAGAGCTGTATATTGTTTGACATAAAATAATAATGATAATGATAACCTCTAACAATCATTGAACTCTTATTGTGGCCAAGCATAAAGCTGTGCATGTTACAGGTCCTTATTTAATGAGAGCAAAATGGTAAGGATCTGAAATGTCATCCAATCCTGAAAGAGCTCTGGTTTTGATCTTTAGTGCTCAGTTCCAGGCTTCAATACTTCACTAATATGAGTAAATCCACCTTAACAATTTTATGTTTTCAACAGAGACAGTTATGTAATCTGGGAAAAATGAAATTTCCTCCCCTCTCATTTGTCTAAAAGTGGTCACACTTTTAGAACGTTAAATAGTTGCAGTAATAGTAAGCATCCTTTCCTTGATTCTGTTTTTTAGTGTGAATTCTTCTAGTGTTTTACTTTTATGCTTGGTACAATGCTAATTTTTTGTTTTTGAATCAGGATTGGATGTTGGATATTATCAAATACTTTGAAGCATCCATCAGGTTGATCATATGCCCTTTTTCCCATGACCTATTAATATATTTCTAGATTCCTAATAGTGAGCATTCTGGAATTCCTGGATAAATCCTTTGTTCAAACATTTAAACATTTAAGTAATATTTCAGGAATGCTTTAGGAGTATTGCAATTACTGAATCTTTCATATTTAAGAACATGTTTTGTTTTTTTCCTATGCATGTATAGAGTACTGGCTATGTGGAATTCTTGAGTCACATCAGTTTTTCCTCAATCCTTTGTAGACATGACTCCACTGTCCTTCGCCATCCCATGTTCTTGGAGAGATCACTTAGGCCAGTTTTCAAAAAATTTGTAGGGCAGTCTATTTTTTTTCTTTTTCTTAAGCAGCAAATCTTCAGAGGTAACTTTTTAAGTTAGGTCTCTAAATTCCATGAAGATATACTGAACCCTTACTATTAAGTTTTCTGCAGTATATGTTTCAACTTAAAATGATCAATATTTTCCAAAATAGAAAATATTTTGTTGTTCTTCTCATTTGTTTTTTGAAATGTCAGATATACAGAAGAATGTGTAAAATATGGGTACTACTTAGCAAAAACCTGCCTAGTCTTCTAAGCCCTTTATAAATATCAACTAATTATTGTTCACATATCAACACTAGATAGGTACCATTTAACAGATGAGGAAACTGGAGCACAGGACAGGTTAAGTAATCTGCCCAAGGTTACACAGCTAACAGTGATGGAGCCAGGCGGTCCGGCTCCAAAGTTGTTCTCTTAACCGTACTGCTTTTTTTTATAGTTCATGATGATAAAAATGAATGAATAATAACGAAAGCAAACACCCAGGCACCAGAGCCCAGATTCAGATTCAGAAACGGAACACTGCTAGTACCCTAGTAGCTTTATATGCACCTCCTCATTCCCATCCTCTTCCTCTACCCAAGACATAACCACTGTTCTCACTTCTGTGATAAATCCCTTCCCTTGCTTTTCTTTATAGTATTGCTATCCACAGATGAACAATATATTTAGTTATAGTCTGTTTTTAAATTTTATCTAAATGGACTCTTACTGTATTTATTTTTCTGTGACTTTGCTTAAATTATTTATTCATTTATATTGATATGTGTGGCTTTAGTTTATTAATGTTTACTGTCTTAAGCAGTTCAGGCTGCTATAACAGAATACCATAGACCAGGTGACTGAATTTATCAGACATTTATTTCTCATAGTTCCAGATGCTGGAAGTCTGAGATCAGGGTGCTAGCATGGATGGGTTTTTGGTGAGGGCCCTCCTCCTGGTTCACAGGATAGAGCAAGTTCCCTCGTGTGTGCCACTTCTTATCAGGGCACTAACCTTATCAGGGCTTTACCCTCATGACCCAAAGACTCCCACTTCTTAATATTGTCTCACTGGGGATTAGGCTTCAACATATGAATTTTGGGGAGAAGCAGACATGAAATTCGTAACATTCACTGCTTTCATTTCTCTTGTATAAGTATTTGACAATTTAGTTATCCTTTCTCTTGTTGGTAGACATTTGGGTTGTTTCCAGTTTTTTGCTATTGTACACAATGCTACTTTAAAAATTATGAATCATGGTGAACCTTTACAAGATAGATTTACCTAAGTGTATGTACCTACTAGTGGATTTGCTAAATCTTATAGTCTGTGTGCCTGTTCTACATTCTAGGTAGTGCTAAACTGTTTTTCAAATACTTGAACGAAATTACACTCCTACCAGCAGTATGTGAAGTTCCCCATACTGCGCATCTTTCTAAATTCTGAGGCTGTCAGTTTGAATTTTTGAATTTTGTTTCTCAGGTGGATGGGATGTGGTAATAGTATCTCACTGAGGCTTTACTCAACCTTCTCCCGGTTACTGTTGGATTGGCATCTTTGCTTATGTTTACTCACTATTCAGGTTTCCTTTTCTTTTTCTTTTTTTAAAATATATTTATTTATTTATTTTTATTTTTGGCTGCATTGGGTCTTCATTGCTGTGCGTGGGCTTTCTCTAGTTGCGGCAAGCAGGGGCTCCTCTTCGTTGCGGTGCATGGGCTTCTCATTGTGGTGGCTTCTCGTTTCAGAGCACAGGCTCTAGGCGCGCAGGCTTCAATCGTTGTGGCATGTGGGCTCAGTAGTTGTGGCTCGCAGGCTCTAGAGTGCAGGCTCAGTAGTTGTGGTGCATGGGCTTAGTTGCTCCACAGCATGTGGGATCTTCCCAGACCAGGGCTCAAACCCATGTTCCCTGTGTTGGCAGGCAGATTCTTAACCACTGTGCCACCAGGGAAGTCCCCACGTTTCCTTTTCTTAAGTGTCTATTCAAGTCTTCTGTCCATTTTCCTAGTGGGCTTAGTGTTAAACAGATATTGTTTTCCAAGTCTAAGTTCTAGAGCTCTTTTTGGGTCATGTGTTGCAAATCCCTTCTCCCAGTATGTAACTTTTTTGTTTTTTGTTCTTTTTACATCTTTTGATGACTGGAAGCATTTATTCTTCCAATGTTTATTCTCCCATTTGGTTTTAATGCTTTCCCCCCACCCCCGTGTTCTCCTGCTTTTATTATTTAAAAAATTTCTTGAACCTCTACTTAGTTTCCAAATTTGATATTTTCTGTGTATCATTTATCTTTGAATAGTTTTGTCTGTCTGGACATTGTATTTGTCTAACAGTGTGAATAGATGTCCCATGTCCTTTATGTTGTTTACTGGGTAGCACTTGGAATGATCTCAAAGAACTTCAGTTGGATAGCTTGATATGATAGAGTGAAGTGGGGCAGGAGGCAGCCTCCAGTTCATGTGTTGCCTGTTGGTATTTCATGCTTGACTGGATAGGTCCTCTCTGAGGTTACTTGGTGGTGTGTGTGTTTTACAGGTGGAGCCTGCTTGGCTTTCCACTTTTGCTGTTTTATGTAACCAGGTTAGATTGGAAGGAGGAAGTCCAGTTCATGCATATCTTTTGCTTCATAGTAAACCTCCTGCCCACAGACCTTTGGTCTGTTGGTTCAGTGTTGATAATTTTGATCAAGCCAACAAGGTGATTCTCGGATTGTAGTTCCCTGTCCTCTGCCTCTCTGCCTCCAGGATGTTTTGTCTGGGATGAGAAATGGGATCTGAGAAAATAAAGTCTGAGTGGCTACAAGGCCTTTCCTCCAGCCCCATCTCAAGCAGTTCAACAGATTCTCCCCTACCTGCCTCTGCCACCAGTTCTTATCTGTAAGAAATGGATATTTAGGAAAGGGTAGGGCCCTTTAGGACTCTCTTATCTAAAGAGAGTGAGAAAATCACATGCTCCTTGTGGAGCAGAGGAGCTTTTAGATTTTGCCATCCTCCCTTGAGAGTTTAAGTTTCAAGTATGTTCTGGTATTTTATGTTCCAGACAAGTATGTTCCCTAAGGGTAGTTTATATACATTAATTTACTTAATCCTTATCAGATTACTTTATCCTCATTTTATATCTCTGAAAACTCAGACTCAGAGAAACAACTACTTAAGATGATAAGTGATTAACAGCCAGTGTTTAAACCCACGTTTGTCTGACTCTAGGGTAAACAATCTTTTCACTGTGTCACACTGTGATGTTTTATGAAGATTTAGTATCAGAATTATAGGCAGCCTTCGGGAGGGAAGAAACTGCTGGTAGGAGTACCAGGTAAATGTTCCAGGGCTTTGTGATCTGCCTCTCCCAGTCCCAGCTCGTCTGTATATCTTCCCTTAGTTCCATCTTCATTATTTAGCCTTGTCCAGTGGTCAGTGATTTCAGTATCTATCCCT